AGGCTGGATGGCTGTTTATCATTGACTAAGGACCCCTGCTACACTACATCCCACATACAAGCATGCTCACTACAGCCTGGGTACTGTGTCTGCAAAACGTCCACACTCTCGCGCTCAAGTAAGCGGGAATGTTTGCCCATGTGGAAATCTGTACGTGACTCTTCATGTGTGTCTATGTATGTGAAAAGCTTGTTTTCATACATAAGTGTGTATTTATGTCTACAGAGTGTGTTTGTGATCTGAATCTATGCTTCTGAATGTTCAAAAGCATATTCCATGTCTGTGATTCCTTAATGGAGAGCGGCTTTGTTTAGTTGCTATGTCAAGTCTGGTGTTGCTGAGTTTGCAGCAGGTAGGTACCGATTCCATAAGGCGACTAGAGCAGGGGACCATTCTGTCTTTGCCGCCGCCTCCTGAACTCCTACTCCAACGTCATCTTAGCAGCAGGAAAGGTGGAGATGCCAGCAGTATAAGATCTGTCACTGAGGTCGATGAGGTGGTGGGCCGCCCTGCAGCACACCCGCGCACTCCAGGATAAGGGCTTTTTGCTGCGCAGCGGAGGGGCGCCGGGGGCGTGGAGCACCTTTTCTGAGCCTAGGAAAGCTCAAGTGCTGCTGTGTCCTGGAGACGGGCCCTCTTTCATACACAACCTAGACAAGGAGCCAGCTACTTTACCGTGAATTACAACTCATGGTTTACTGTCATTCAACTCTTCTCGTTAACACTCATGCCAGGAATGGCCTTTATGTTCTTTGAAAGCAGGCACTGTGTCCATGCGTCCCCAGGATCTGGTACTGTGCCTCTTCACAACAAATGGGTTTTGATGTCATGTGAAAATCTGTATGATTACAAGACCCATGGCAGCCTTTTTCTCTAATGTAGTTCATACTGGGTGCTTAAGATACAGGTAGGAGACAGACCACTTGTATTTCTGAGAATATCAAGCAATTAAAAAGTTCTCTATGGCCTCAATTCGAAACAACTAAGAACTATTTAAAGAGTCACCAGAATCTAGCTGTGGTGTCATTGGGTTGAGCTCTCGCTTTCTTCCATGTTCTCCAGCTTCTTCCAAAAGAAGCTAGTTGGATGTAGCCTAAGACCTCAAAATGCCAGGACTGAGCTACATACCCAGACTTCTGCTGGTGCCGCAAAGACTAGCTCACTGTCACCTTAACTTACCACCTCTCAGGCACTGCGGACCCTTGACAGCATTACTCCCATCCTAATGACATACCAGGGGGGCTGTGCTTCTCTCTGTCTTGCTGTTGGAGATGTTCTGGATATGGAAAGAGACGATAGTTTCGACCTGGCCCTTCAGAACAGCCTCTGCAGCCCTGCGAGACAGACAAGACAATGCACTAGCACTTGTTTCTGTCCCACGAGCTGCAATTCTAGCATGCTGACCCCATGGGGTAGAAAGAACCACAGGGAATGCTGAGTGAGAAGAAGTCTAAGGAAACACGCTTCTTTATTTATGCTTATCATTTACCAACACGTGCCTGAAGTTAGAAGATGGCCATGAGTGAGATCCCACAAAAGCATTAAAAACAACAAAACAAACAAAACCAAAAACCAAAACCCACTAAAATGCTCAAGTCTTGATTCAGTCCAATCCGGTTAGGTGATTTACAGAAAATCCTCATTCAAACACCAAGTAGGAAATGGCCGTGGAAACCCACTAACAGGTGCACAGGACTGAGGCTGTGCAGGCCCAGCGTCGCCTTGTGAGAGAGGAGGGTGCAGTGTAGGAGGCTATCCCTGCTAAGTAGGTAAGTAAAACAAAGTGTCACCGATGCAGCTGACCATTGGAAACATCCATGGCAAAACTGTCACAGGAGCTGCTTTTGGTAAACTCCTGAGACTTTCCTTCCTATGTTTTCTCATTATTCTACTATAGACACTTATGTTTGTGGTATTTAAAAAAAAAAAAAAGATAACAGACAGATTGCAGAAAATTGTATGGTGTTCACTCAACCCGTGTTTCACGTAACATCACTCTGTCCCAGCATAGCCTACGCAGCACTGTCAGGAGCTGCCTCTGGGCTGTGCGGTCGGGTAAGAACTCTGGTCTGAAAACACTCGAGGCACACGCAACACAGACAGCCACCAACTTACTTATTTGCCATCTCAGTCGAGAACACATACACCACTTTGGCCGGAGTCTTCTGAGCAGGTATGGGCTCTGGGGCAGTAGTTTGGCCATGAGAGGGAGTGGAAGACCTGGGGACTGTAGCAGTTGACGGGGTCATGGAGTGTGGTGTGTGCTGGGACTCTTGGGACTTGATGTGGTCTGCAGAATTACATTCTAAAAGAACGAAGGAGTCGCTGTCACAGAAAGAATAAGCTGCCCCCACCCCGGCCTTCCTGCCAGTATTTACAGCGTCACAACACAAATCCACCTTGAAAACTTCAAGAGTAAGTTCCTTGCTAAGAGAAAACATCTCTTCTACTTTACAGTTCCAATACGCTTTTCCCTAAATGATATAATATAGCAATCCTCCCATCCTCTCCTGTCTATAGTACACATATGAGCAAGAGTGCCCTTCCATTCTGGCAACCTTCGTTTGTTTGTTTGTTGTCCTCTCCCCCCAATCCCTCCCAACACAGTGCTTCTCTGTGTAGACTCACTTTGTAGACCAGGCTAGCCTAGAATTCACAGACATCTACCTGCCTCTGCCCCCTGAGGGCTGGGATTACAGACATGTGCCATGGCACCCAGCTCTGGCAACCTTTTAGACATGACAAGATACCCCTGTTAATCAACCTCATAACCCCCTTCTAGTGTTTTAGCATTTCATACTGATGGTCTGATGACTAGCTCTCTAGGTACACTCAAATTCTTAAAGATGACAACATTTGTCCTGCTGTCTGCACCCAGGACCCAGGAGAGTGCTGGGATTCGTAATAGGATTCCCAGCAACACTTCAGGAAGGAAGGGAGGAAAGGAACAAAGGGAGCAGTTACTCAGGTTTTCACTTTCACTTTGGGCTGGAAAAAAAAATCTCACTTTCACTTCTTAAATAGGAACTTCACATTCTGGCCCCCTCTTAAGATTTGATTTTCTATGTTTTTTAGTTGTACTGTAGGAAGAAAAAGGCCTAAAGCCCCATACCAATACTCTTTCCTGGCTCATTCCATTGTGGTGCCTGCCAAATTTCTACATCTGGTAGCTACTCAGTCCTGCCACACTAAAATCAGCTGTAACTGCTCTGGACTAGTGCCAGGGCCACTAAGGCTTCCCCTTGAGTCTATGAGTCTGGCAAAGTGGCAACCAGAAAGCACAAACCCAAGTCTTGGAGGATTTCTCCAAGAGGGAATGCCAGAGAAAGTGCTCCAGTGTGAATCATAGACACAGCTGAAATGCAGCCCCTGCCTGACTGAAGGACCACAGAACACAGGCAGGAAATATGCTCAACAACACAGCCTAGGCCTGCAACATACCTGATCAAACCACACACACCTTAAGAGCAAGAACTGCTCAACAACCTGTTCTAGATTCTTTAGTGAGGAGAAAAGTGAGAAGCAATGGTCTGTCCTAAGCTGTGAGAATCCGGAATCTGCCACCTCCTCTCCCACTTGACTGACAGCAGCCTCTGGCCTCCACTAAATGTCAGAAGCCTTCCCCAGGGAACACCTACTTCCCCCTGAGTCTCAAAGATCTTATAGACATACCTTTAATGTCAGAGTCATCGTTTGGAGTCCCAGGGTCTCTCTGATCAAAGGAGTCGGCGGAAATACTTCGCTCCCTTTTCCCCTTGCCCTTGGCACCATTTCCAGCCCCATTCTTCAGCCCCATGCTCCCACCTGGGCCAGGGAGTGCTTTAGGGGTATGGCCCCCACTCTTGGAGTCACAGGGGGATGGCTGGGATTGGCTGGCTGAGCCCCCCGGTTTACCCTGATTGGAGAATTTGGAATCCAGCTGGGGGTTTCCAGATGGGGACATCACTGTAGGGGGACGGACCATCACCTCCTGCTTTGACTTAGGGCTACTAAAAGAAACAAATGAGGAGCTCAGTTACCAGATACGGTCAGGACGAATCAGTGCTTCTGTAACGGGTGAAGGAGACCTTCCTGCATGCTAAATTACCACCCCACGCTGCACCTTGTCCACTTGCTTGGCCCTGCCACCCTGGCTCCCATCTTGGAGCTATCAACAGAGAGGAGGGTAAAACAGAAAGGCCTCCAGGTCTCAGGAACACTAGAGTCACATGGGACCTATCTCTAGGGCTTCTGTCAATAAAGGACAACCGTTTCTATGTACATAGAAAAGTGACTCTCACACTAAGACTAGCTCAGAGTAAACAAACAGACATCGTTAAGATCAAAATACTACCACCCCCAGGCTGATGACAAGGAACAGCTGTAACAAAAGCCTAGCTCCTCTGCTAGAGCAAGCAAGCAAGCAGGCCCAGGAGACCAGAAGGAAACCCGGTGGAGATGTCAGGTTAGGGAACTCCTCCAGCTTCCAGATCCCTCCCCACGGCAGCACAGTACCAGAGCAGGGAAGGCCAGCTGCTGCCTCAGGGAAGACGGGAGGTGGCGTTCCTTTAAAATAACTGTCTGAGGACTGAGAGATACAGCAAAGGCTCTGGGTGGTAGACCGGGTGGTTTAGTTCTGGGCCCTCATCATTCTATGCCCCAGACTCCTCATTTGGGACTGGCTGGCCTCTACGGTCCTTCTGCTTGTGCTTTGCAAGGGGCGGGGAAATGGTAAAGGTGGGAGGTGTAAGAGGCCTGAAAAACCGTAGTGTGAGGCTTGGCTATCAGCTCATCACTATTCCAGTAGGTTTCCTCCTCCTTCCCCCTGGGTCTCCTCTGCTTCTAATTGTGCACACTGATGCAGCCATGAGCGTGTGTGGTTGTACACGTGCCGACCAGGGGGTGGCCGTGAGGCCCAGGCCTTACCTCTGTGTGTTTCCTGACGGAGAGCTCCTCACTTTGGGGTTACTGGAATGCATTGATTGAAATCCTGAGCTTTCGGTCACTTCACTGGGACGGGCTCACCGAGTTCCTCTCGGGCTGCAGCACCAGAAGCCGCTCAGGGCAGAGGCAGTCGCCCACTGCTGGCTTGGTATGTCCCTTAGCGCTGGCTGCCCGTTCGCCTTTTTCCTCTTCGTTTTTCTCCGCTGTGGAAGTGGGTCCTTCCCCCTTGAACTTCCAGCATTCTCTGAGTGTGCGCCTCCTGCCGCCGAAGGAAAATCTCGCATCTCCAGGGCACACTACAGAAGAAGGACACACAAGGAAAAGGGGGGAGTAAAAACAGAGACAGAGAACACCTTTCAACAGGATTAACCCGGCAAGCGACAGCTGGGCATGCTGGGTAAAGGAGAAGGGGAACAGTCACGCTGTAGCCACTGACTCAGGTGCTCAAGCAACTGACGGGGACTAAGGGCCTCTGGTCAGCACACAGGCCTCCCATCCACACGACCTTTGCTTGAAGGAGGGAAAGAGGATGTCATCTGTAGCCATTTATTCTCCCTTGTGTTTATTTCCGAATACAAAAGTCTCAGTGGCCGTGGGCTATCTGGCTCCTCTTCCAGATGATGCTTTGAATTCACTAGGTAGTGACCTCTGCTGTTCGGGTTGTGGTGGCAAACAGGAGTAGAGATAGGTAACAAACCCATCCCAACTCCATTCCATGTAGCAAATTACTGATGCCTTCCCTCTTTGGGCTGGAGGGCAATGGGGCACTGAGGGAGATGCTTCTGAAAGCAAACACCACGCTAATACTAATACAATCAGTTCTGCCCCCGATTTCCAAGGCTCTTCTGTTAAATTATGCAGATTTCGTTTGTGCCCGTGTTCTCACCTTAGTGACAGGGACATGAGCAAGCATGGCAATGAGCCACAGTTTTGAAGGTAAAAGAGTATCTTTGAAGGTGAAGATATTTTTGAGCCAATTTGCAAGGCTAACTTAGAGCATAAAGGTCAATGAAATATTCCCAAACCTGACTATGGAACAATAAAAAAGCTCTTTATTTAGGGGAGCCTAGCCTGGAGGGAGTCAGGAGCCATGACCATCTTTCAGTAGCCACCATGGCCTGCTCCTCCCGCTCCTCTCCCTGCTGCTCTCTTGCTGAGCGGGTGTGGTACTGAAGGAGGAAAGTGTCATGCACAGATTAGTGGCTGAAAGGTTAAAAGGAGCTAGAAACAGCTCAGCTGGTACAGCCCACACTTATCTTGGGTCTCAGAGTCTGGACGAAATCAGGAGGAACCTTAGTTAAACTTGTGGTGGTATGAGAACTGGCACGTACAAAACTTCTTCAATTAGGCATTCCAATGGTCCAACTTTTTTACCTGAGCCAGGGAAGGGAATTTATGGAGGTTTTGAGTAGACACAATTACACCTTTTTCTTTTTTAGTGAAAGAGGAAGGATGGAGAACTAGACAAAGATACTCTGAAGCATTTCTATGCTGGGCTCAAGAAGCAGCATTCTGAAAAACATCTTGATCTTCATTACATTTAAGGTCGTATTTCTATCCCCCCAAACCTTTTATCTTTTTTTCTTTTACAGTTTAAATCATAGAATGGACTACAGCTGTCAAATGTGACAAATTAAGATCATAAACTGTTTTTTTACATTCTTATTTTTTTTTTAAATCAGAATCATTGGTGAAATAGAAGCAGCAGAGAAACCCTGAGTGGACACAGCCGAAGGCTTCCCTCCGGCAAAGGGGAGCAGCCATCATCTATGCGCTGCGCAACGTCTGGTACTGTCTTGTCCTGGTACTATCTGTCCCGTCACACATTCCACGGCCACCAGCACTGAGCGAGCCTCTGTGTGCTTTCCTCCCTGTGGGGACGGATGGGGTTCCTTGAAGACAAGAACCTAATTTTGAGGTCTCTGGTTTCTCTATACTACTCAGCATGAGTACCAAGGGTACAGGTGGGTCCTCCATGACTTGTTAGCTTCCCAGAGAACAGGAACACCTGGCATTTGATCTGCAGCCTTCTTCCCAAGCAATGCAAAATACATCGCAAATATCAGATTGCCTCATTAATCTGCTAGGCACTGATGATAAGCTGGTGGCAAAGATTATTTCTAATAATGATAGCATGAACATAAAACATTTTTATTTTCAAAGTACTTCCACATACAGTGTCTTATTCTCACAATTTGCCCGACCTTGATTGACAGGTATTTTCCACCTGAATGAACCAGAGCACACAGACACACACAAATGGTTTCTCTAACCGTCAGTGCTCTCAGCAACTCCCCCCACCCCCCAAACTCACCTTCCCAACCTTACTTTCTGGACAGACAGAACCGAGGCCGAAAGAAGTACGAGGCCTCATGCAAGGACTAAGAAGAAAATCCAGGCTTCTAATTCCTGACCTAAGAGAGGTGTTCAGAGAAAAGATGCCGAGTTTTAGCCTGCCTCTCTGAGAGCAAGAACAAGTGAACCAAACCTACCAAATGTCTTATGACAGCCACGAAGATCAAATTGGGCTCTTCAGCAGGTGGAGGACTGGAAAAGGTCTTCCACAGAATCCACACAGTGACAGCGGGAACTCCCTCTAAATCAAGGACTCCTCCTTTGTTCCTCAGATCTACTTCCATGCTTCTCCCTTCTCTTCCTCAGGATACCTGACATTTTCACTAAGCCCTAGGCGTGTTGTAAGCCGTGTATCCACACGCCAGTTCACTCACAGCAACCCCACAGGACAGCTATTATTATCCTGTCTTAACCACACCGAAGTCGCTGGTCACGCTTCTGGCAGTAGAGCTGGGGTCGGGCCCTGGCCTCAGATTTTCTTCACACAGCAGTGCCTCACTGACTCTCACTGAGGTGAGCACGGCCCTGGAGCAAGCTCACTGGCTCCTCCTGCCAGGCTCTGCTTCAAACCTTCTCTACTTGCCCCACCCACCATCTTCCTCCCTCCCTCTTAGCCCTGGTTTGTGGGCTCCTGGCTTTTACGTTGCTTGTTTGCTTTGTCTTAATTCAGTATCCCATTCTACAGCTCCAGCTGGTTTGGAACTTGCTTTCGTAGACCATGTTGACCCGGAACTTGCATGGACTCCCACTTCTGGGTCCTCAGTGCTGCAATTCCTGTCTGTGGCTATTATTTAATAGGAAGAAAACATTTCACCAAGTGGGGCATCCCCATACTAAGCTAGCAAACCTCTTCCCCGGAAGTACCCATTCCTTTTTCCTTCGTGATATTCAAAACAAATAACAAGAGAAACCAGCCATTTCCCCCAAAGCACAGCTAACCAACAGGTGGTGTGGCTCATGCCTAGGGTCACTGCCTTTGAGGGCTCTTATTCTGTTCTCTGGCCATCCCTTCCAGCTCCCATGTCCATCAGATCTTTCCAATTAGCATTCAGACCTTTGTATCAGCATTGTATCCTTCCAGCACTTAAATAAACACATAGAATAGGCCCAGCAGGTACTTGCCACCAAGCCTTGAGTTTGATCCCTGGGACCTACGTGCTGGAAGGAGAGAACCAACCCCCAGGGGTTGTCTTCTGACTTCCTCGGGAAGTACCATGTACCATGGCACACACGTACCTATAGAGACACACACAGAGTAGATAGCCTTCTATTTCCTGCAGAGCCAAGATTCTTTATGAACGTGACAAGAGGCGCAATGTTCTCTTGCCGTTCACCGTTCACCATGTGAATTAACGCCTAAGCCCAGACCACAGGACTACTGTTTCTGCACTTTCTTCCTGCTGCTCCAGCTGTTCCTCATGTGTGTGCATCCTGAGACTCTTCTCCACCGACTCCCACAAGACTCCACCCTGGGCTCACCTCTCCGTAACTGAGTTCCCACCCTGCCAGCAGCTCCCACGTTCACACATGTGACTTGGCTTACGCCCTGCAAGCCTGTACGAACAACTGCTACTTGACACCTCCCTGGATGGCTCAAAATTGCCAGGACTGAACATGAATTATTCACTTTGGTATAGTCTTCCTTCCAGAACTATTTCCCATTCACTTAAATGCCTCTTCCACCCACCTAGCATGAAGTCACTTATTTCTTCTTGGGAGAAGGGTCCTTTAGAACCGTCCACTACGTGAACCCCTCCATCACAGTCTTCAGAGGCCTTGGGTTTCCCCAGAGTTTTCCTCCTGCTTTTTAACTGTGTAGGTCATTATATGATCACCTGTGCAACATCCATCTTCGCCTTGGACTATGAGCTCCGTGAAGCAGGGGGCAAGGCTAACTTACTATTCATCCTTCCCTTCCTTGCACTTACTAAGCAGCCTGGAACATTCGGTATTTGTTAAAAACTTATTCAAGAAGAGGAAATGAGTATGCCCAACAGGTATCTTCACAGCAGCCTTCCATACAGACCAGTCTAGACTTGAACTCAGAGAGATCCACCTGCCTTTACCTCTGCCTCCCCAGTGCTAGGATTAAATGCCTGAGCTACTACATCCAGTCCTCACTGCACAATGGATTGATTGATTGATTGGGGTTTTTTTTAAGACAAGGTTTCTCTGTGTAGCCCTGGCTGTCCTGGAACTCTCTTTGTAGACTAGGCTGTCCTAGAACTCACAGAGATCCACCTGCCTCTGCCTCCCTAAACCTAACCCTGAGAGCTGGGATTAAAGCTGTGTGCCACCAACCCTAGCTTTACTGCACACTTCTTAACAGCAACTAAGATTCAGAATCTATCTGAGCATCTATCAATGACTGCGTAGATTTAAAGACTATGGCAAGCCCCCCCCTCCCCTAATGGGACTATTTGGCCTTAAAAAAAAAAACACAAAAAAACATTATGATCCTTTCATTTGTAGACAGCATAGATGAATCTAGAGGACATTAAATAAGACCGGTACAGAAAGGCAAATACCATACCCTCTCACAAACACCTAACAAGCTGAAGTCAGAAACGGGTAAGAGAATGGCAGTAGCCAGAGGCTGGGGGGTGGGGGTGGGAGGCAGGGTTGAATGACTGAAAAAGCATCAACTGTTGAGAAAAGATAAAGCTTTTTGTAAGGATCTCATTCCTCAGCTACTTCTCACGCTTTCATCTGAGTCTACTCACCCAAACCCCAAGGGTCAGGACACTGCAGACTTCATCCTGGGGGTGAGGAGTCAGGAGCCCCTTCCTCAAAGGTGACCCTCACCTAGAAGAGAATAAAGGGGGGCATTTTGAAGTAGGTCTGAAAACATCAACAACATCAATGTGACAACCACTAAGGACCTTGAGGGGAAAACAGTTTCCTATATACTCTAGGGTATAAAGAGGAAGCTGCCATCTCACTTATAAACAGAATCAACTCCCAACTGTTAAATGGTATATACAGATATACTGTAGCTATTTCAAGGTCTTTGGTGTTTTTTTTCCTTCCCAATTACATGTTTTGTCTTCAGATGCTGTATTAAATGCATTAAGGGCAAATACAATGAACTTTTCTACTGGAGTTTCTGGGCATTTAATGAAAACAAAAAGAGATGCTGGAGTATGGTCTGGTGCTTTGTATTTGTTTATCGCTTGCCCCCGCCGAGATTCTTACTGTCTACCAGCAAACTGTCACGTACCTCAAGTACTGCTGTTTAACCTTGCCTAAGAAATTGTTCCTGATTGGCTGATTAAAAGGACTAAACCTGGGCAAGGCAGAATGGGGTAGGCGTGGCCAGTTGGAGGGCTTTGGAACAGGAGAATCACGGGAAGCACACAGACTGGAACAGAGAAGAGGAAGACTGTATGAGTTATCCTGGAAAAGAACCACGTGGCTAGAGGAAGGACTCCGGAGCATCGTGGAAAGAAGCGATCCAGATGAAGGATAAACAAGTATTTATGGAGTTATGGAAGACGGGCCTGAAGGGAATGGTTAAAGCAGACGGGATTGGATGGGGGCTGGGAAGTGAATGGGGAGGTTCTTGAGATGGTGTAGGTGGAATTATTTGTCCAGCCCAAGGTGATACAGGGCAATTATATAATCTAACTGGTGTCTGTCTTATTGATTATCATAGCAGGTTAGATAATAATAATAATAAATATTATTAGCCCAATACCATTCATTTCCAACAAAAAAGAGAGCTCACATTTTTGCTTCTACTGCTTCTTCCTAATACAGAGACTAAACATTGACTATGACGGTGCACAGAGAGAAGATGCCAAGTGCACTTCTGAATTCACAACCTTAGGGTCACTCACAGCTACAACCCCACGTGGCAACAGCTGGCCAGAAAGCTTCCACATTTTGGCAGGAGCTTAAGACTGAACAAACCTGCTTTTATTCAGTGCCTACTATGTGCAGAGCGATGTGCTGAACTAGAGAAAACCGGGAGCCTGAACAATTTCCAACGTCTGTCCTTGTAGACGTCACTCTGCCAAAAACCTATAGTTTAAAAAAATTGCACCCATTTATTTTACTTAGATTATGTGTGCGTGTGTGTGTATGTGTGCCACGGTGCATGTGTAGAGGTCTGAGGAAGACCTGCGGGAGTCAGTTTTCTCCTTCTGCTACGTGGGTTCTAGCCCGAGAGTTCCGCTCACATTGTGAGAGTTGGCACAGGGGCCTCTACAGGCTGAGCCACCTCAGTGCAGAAGCTACAGTTTTGGGATGGCAAGGGAGAACAAAGCTCTAGATGGTTTGAGAGCCAAATTGTTTAGGGAATCTTTAAACGCGTGCTTTGTAGGATTAGCAAAGTTTCAAGTTAAGTCACAAACTAATGGGACTGAGCTCAGAATCAAAATCCTGACTTCAACTCTTCCAAGGATGCTTTCCCACCTCCCTGCTCCCCAAAGTCAAGTTTATTAGAGCTATGTCATGTTTAACAAATTTCATCTCTGCGCTATGACTGCTGTTCCATAAAAGGCACAGTATCAGACTTAGAATGTGGAACTAAAAGGTCTTAAGATTCCATTCCTAGCCCATTCTTAACTTCTGGCTTGCCAACAACGAAACGGCTTCTTCCAGTACACAAAAGGAAGAGCCGACCTCTCTCCAGAATGCAGAGAAAAACAATGATTCAGTGGGCCCATGCAGAAAACCTCAGTTCACATGAAACATTACTGTGTGTTTTAGTATTCACGGGGCAAAAACTGTCCTTCAATGGCTACTAAACTTTAAGGAAACAAAATTCATATCGAGCTAAAGAATTCTGACAAAATTCAAGTGTTCAAAGTAAACTGTCACTACTATCCTAAAGAATAATGGCTACCAGAGTAGTATTTTACACACATATCCCCTCTGTGAAATTTCCCTCGGTTGCCTGCTACCCCCTGTATGTCATCCAGGCCCCTGGGCACAATAGTCACTCCATTTAACACTTTGAAAACAGTATCACTGTGCTAGTTAGACAGGGAACTCCCTGAGGACAGTGTCAATCATCCTCTCAGCACCTGGTACCCAGCAAAAAACCAACAAAATGCTGGTTGATCGACGTATTACAGTGAGCTTGCAACTCTTCGCTCACATTTCCACAAACCCAAGGGGACATGATAAATGCTGGGTTCAGTTCTCACTGTCTGCCTTTCTCCTCAGCCCTCTGCTTCAAGTCAAACACCAGGCCCCAGGTCACACAAAACACACCGTGACAGCACTTGTAGTTGGGGCTTGCACCTGCTTTGATGACTTTCACTTTGGGAAACTTCTAGAATGAAGAGCAGCCCAGTCTTACCTCACAAGAAATTCTAGAGAGACAAAAATCCAATAGACATTCAAGCTTCAGTCACAGAAGTCACAGCTTAAGGTGAGGTTTTTACCTTTCAGGATGTCCACTTTGCTTTTCTCTTCTACATTGGGGCAGGGAGGGACTTACAGAGGACAACTGTCACCCTCACCACACAGGGATTTTTAGGTCAAGGAGGAGCGACACCAGTTAGTCCCACATTCAGTCCTAGGATGACAAGAAGAAAGGAAAAGTTCATACCCATATTCACACTGACTCCAAGGAAAACCACCCCTTCCCCACTGCACTGTGGCCAAATGCACGTCTGGAAGGAGAACTAGTAACAAAGCAATTAGTCAAAAATGGGGAAAGGCGGCAAACCCATGAAGCATTTAAATACAAGTCAGAGATAAGGGACTGCAAACGTGGGGGATGGGGGGGCTACATAGGCTAATGGTGACTAGGGAACTTGGAACAAAGAAGTGTTCTTTGAATTCTTGTTTTTCACCTTTTCCACAACCAGGAATGGCCTTCACAGGTTGCAAAATGGTCTTTGGCTTTTCATGTGGTCTCCATGCCCCTGTCCTTAGCATGATGGAGATGGTTTGTTTTCTTTCTTTTCTTTCTTTCTCTTTCTCCCTCTCTCTTTCTTTCTTTCTTTTTTTTTTTTTTTTTTTTTTTTTGCTTTGTTTTTTGTTGTTTCTCTGTATAGCCCTAGCTGGCCTGGCCTGGCTCTGAAGACCAGGCGGGCCTCAAAATCATAGTTATCCACCTGCCTCTGCCTCCCTGAGTGCTGGGCGTACGCCCTGCATGATGGAGATTCTTAAAAATATCGCAGAGCTCAAAATGTAAGCGGCCTTAGGTAAACTTTCAAACATCACAGTCTTAAAAAAAAAAATAAATAAGAATCACTTGTTCTAGGGTGGTTAACTCGAGGATTCACAGCTCTCAAGGAGTCTGCTGTACACAGGAAAGAGGGGGCCTTCCGGGAGTGACACAGATCATCATTTTGACTGATCTCTAAGTAAGTAATGAAGTTAGCATAGCCTTCCACAGTGGGAGTAGCGTCAGCCATCCTGTGCCACCAACAGTGCCGCCACACATTTTCACGTCCTATTAGTTGTTGAAGAAACACTGACACAGGGACACGTGCTGTTCCCTCAGCCCCACTTCCAGATCACAGCCTCTTTAGACATTGTTCAGTGTGTTACAAAGAAGCGCACACATTACCATGTCAGCAGGGGCATCTGACAACCCATTTGTACTTCTACGTGTTTCATTCCATGCATGTAAGAAACATTCTCAGGTGGGACCCTGCATCAGCTGACTGCCAGAGTGGACTGAGACAGAAAAACACTACGAACTCCAGAGTTAGAACAAGAAAAGCTGCCAGACTCTCCCATCATACTCCTGAAGGCAGAGGAGAAGTCATTTTCCCCACACTACCTGAAGAGGACTAGGCAGAAAACCAAGGCCTGTGCCTTAGGCCACAACACAGGGCTTCTGTAGCCTAGGCCAGCACCTACCTTTTCACTCCCTGTCAGCACAGTATTTACAATTTAAAATACTTAAAATATCCTTTTGCTCAATATTTACAATTTCCATCAATATCACTGCCTTGCAACTAAACACTAATCTTTCAAAATTAATATAAAATCCTAAATTCACACAACAGACCAATACAAGTGTACAAACATCTCTTTTTGTTCTTTGATTAAACATATTACTACAGTGGTACAAAAGTTAAATCTGGTCTGTTTGTGAAACAGTCAAAGTAGGATTTAAAAAAAAAAAGTTATAGTACATAATCTCTCATCCTTGGCGGTGTTCAAAGAACTTTCCGGACAGGCATTAACTGGTTAGGCTGAGAGGCAACTCCGAGTGTGAGAACAGCATCACCTTCACAGGCAGGCAAAGAAAACACCAAAACTTGTTCAAAGTAAGTCACCCAGTGACTTGATCCCAAGTTCAAGGCTTTTCACCATTCAGTATCTGGCTAGTCACGGAACTTGTGGAAGCCCTGGGTCTGGCCTCTGGCATTTTCTTTTGGTTTACAAAAGCAGATATTTCTGAAGGCCACAGGGCAATAACCCATAGAAGAAATTCCAATGTATGTAAGTAAGTTTGTTTGTTTTTGCTTGTCCTCGTTAACCAGAATCCAGGACAAAACATTCCTTTTGCTCAAGAACCAGTTCCATAGTACTTGCCCTAAAAACAGAAAACTGTACAGAAATTGTGCTTTCATCTTTAGACCAATGACTTTCCTATCTATCTATCATATATTTTGAAACTATTATATTCAGAACATTGATTACAAAGACTTTTAAGGCTAAATATCCAACTTCTAGGTTGTAAAACTATCAAATCTCCTATGTACACCTCCACATTTCCTCAGCTCATCCAAAGCACCAGTTAATGGAACCCCCATTTCTCAAAGCATGTTTGCAACACCTAACGAACCTCTTCCTAGTCCATCTCTACAAACAGTGTAGAGCTCTTTCAAGAGAAGAAAGAAGACTTTGTTATTGGTCCCCACCACTACTAGATTTGCACCCAAACATTTCTTCATACTGAACTTCCCAACAACTGGTGTCTAGTCAGAAACTTCCAAACCAACCAACCATGCTCAACCACCTCCAGTCACAGGTTCTAAAGTGCCTGACTCTCTGACATCCTCTGGGACCACTTCTCAACTATTTCACTACCTACTCTCGTTACCTGCTATAACTAATTCATCACTGCGTTCCCTACACAAGAGCCCAAATCTCTGTGGCCCAAACGAGCACTTAATTCCACAATATATCAAATGCTAACAAACACTCCATCACGCTGACTTTCTACACGGCCACTCAATCATTTCCCCACTGAAGTCACTGCCAGGGATTGGCTTGTGTTTGCCTTAACTAAAGTCTAACATTGCATCCTGCCTTGGAGACTGTCTCCACAGAGGCATATTTACTTCCATTTCTCAACCCTGTCTAATGAGTTTATTAGGTCCCCATCTTAGCCTCTGAATCCGTACTTAGAAGCGCTCTTCCTGGCCTCCAGCAGACCAAGGCTTTCGGGGGACAGATTTCAAGCCTTCTTTCTCATCCTTGGCAGCCTTAACATCAGCTCCCCGACAATACTAGTATTACAGGCCTTGGCTCTTACCTCTGGACTACCAACCAACTGTGCGATTGTTTTCCTTAGGCTATCTCCATTTCACCAAGCTCACCCAACACTTAACCAGTGACATCTTAAGAGTCCTTGCAACTTTCAAAGGCCACTCAGCGTCTAGGGATCCAATCTGAAAATCACTGGTGTGTTCTACGACCCCCACAATGACTCAGTGACCTAAACATCGCCAACTCACCTGCTGGAACCCTTTACAACTCAGACATTCCTCTAGGCGTTCACCTCCCCCAACCCCTCAACAAGTCACTGGCCTGCGGAGTCCCTTTTCCTCCTCTACGCATCTCCGGGGTCTTGGAGAGCCCACCAAACTCAACCAGAAATACCTAATTTCCCGCGCACTCTCTTCTCTCCATCGCCCCTCCATCCCAGGACCCCGAGACGGTCCTCTCCCCTCAGGTAACCTCTCCAGGCACGGCTTTGGGACACAACCTCTAAAACCCCCGAGAGATGCCCCGGTCCCTCTCTCCCCCAGCTCCTGAGGCACCCCCACCTCCCCCAACAGGTTCCTCCGGACTCAACTCGCCCAGCCAGCGCCCCCGACCCCCGGAGGCCCCCCGGCCACACGCGCACGCGGACCCGGCCCCCGCCGCGCCGGCCCGCCCCTCCCCCTCCCCCTCCCCGGGGCCACTTACCCCGGGCCGGAGCGGGGGAGGGGCGGGCGCGGGCGTGGGGGGGCTGCGGTCCCGGGCTGCTCTCAGCCCCGGGGGGCCGGGGCCGGGGCCAGCGGCAGCGGCAGCGCAGCGTCTCCCCCCGGCGGCGGCGGCGGCGCCGTCCCACTCCCGCAGGCACACATAGGCTCCATTGTCCGCCGGCGCCTCCCCCTTTCCGGCTCCCCCTCCCGGGCCCGCCCCTTCCCCCTCCCCTCGACCCTCCCCCCAGCCGCACCGTGCCACGAAAGGTACCGAGGGCCCCGCCTCGGACGCGAGCGGAGGCGCGCCCCTCCCCCGGCCCGCCCGGCGGGGAATGGGGCCCTGGACCCGCCGCCGCCAGGGCCCGCCCCCTCCGGGGGAATGGCACCCGCCCCCCTCCCCAAACGCGCTCGATGGTAGCAGCCCGCCGCCGCCGCCGCCCCCTCCCGCGCCTGACCCGGGAGAAGCCGCCCCCGCCCCGCCCACCCGGAGGCCCCTCCCCCGCGCTGCACGAGGGCCCGCCCCGCCGGCCCCGCCCCCTGCTTTGCATGGCCCCGCCCACCACCGCCCCGCCCCAGCTAGTCACCGGGTCCCCCCGCGGTGACGCCCACTCCCCGGTTTAAAGCCGCAGAACCCTCTTTCTCAACTAAAAGATCCTCCCGCAGGACCCGCGGGGCGGGAGGTGCGGCGGGGGAGGTTCGCGTCCTCCCCTCTCCCTCCTCCCGGCGCTCACTCACCCGGACTCCCCACGGCCCCCGGCCGTCCCGGGAGCCACCGAAGGGGGAAGGGCAGAGTGGAATTTGGCCATCTTTGACAGAAACTAATCGGAGCTTGCTAAAGGAGCCGGTCTCCCTTCGCCCTCGCCCGCCGCCCGGGCCCGGGCCTACTCCCCAATCCACGCCGCTGCCTCCCACGCCGCGATTCCGCCCTGCCTCTGCCGGCCCTCCCGCCCGCCGCTCGGCGTGTGCTCTACCTCTGCCGCACGGCTTTCTTCCCTCCGCAGAGCAGGCCCCTCGGCTCGCACCCTTCTCCCGCTTCCCCAGCATCCTCGGCGGGGTCTCCCTCACCTCGGGCCCTGCCCCGCCCCGCCCTGCCTGGCCAGCACTACCAAGCTCCAAGGGAGCACCTCTGCCCCGGCCCCCACGGCTGCTCCCAACCGCAGTACCACTCACCCCCTTAATTCTTCGGAAGAGCTTTGTTGTAGAGAATTCGAAGCCGGTTCAGCACTACCCCAGTGAAGTGAGATGTTAGCTCATTTAGACTGCACTTTTCCACATCCCGGTTAACGCACGGTTATTTTGTGGGGACGGTGTTACCGCCTTGACCAGCCATAGTTACTGTCTGCCCTCGCCACAAAACCCTCCTGATCTTTGAGTTTGTACTTTGCGGAGTCGGTCTTAAAGATGCTTCTGCAACTCTGTGCACTGGTCCAAAGCTTTCTAACACGGTTGGGTGAATCCTGTGGACCTGAGAAGGTACATACATAGTCTCCTCTAAGGTGGAAGCAAGCAACATAGCCAAAGACCTACATCCGTTCTTCTGTTGCCCATGGACTTAACCGGGACAGCCACTGCTGCCTCAGCTTTTCTGCCTATAAAACAGGAAACCTTCCTTGTGGTTCCCTTTTAAGGAACCTGTTGTAAAGGATGGTTATAATGGAACCCTACATAGTAAAGTTCGCTCACTGCCTTCCAGACTACTCAGAACTAATGACTGGCCATGTGGGTTTCCATACAATTCCTCCCTGTCTTAGAATCTGAACAACTGTGGCAAGATATTTCTCTCTGTGTTCTATTGAGACTGAGTTTATATATTTAAAAGAGTCAGGTAGGTCTGAACGATATAAACCTGAGAGCAAAAGGAGTCCAGATAAGCAATAAAATTGGGGTGTGTGTGTCAACTTTTGGTTTTAGAAATCAGCTTCAACATAGCCAAGAACCTCTGTCAAAGAGGCACAAGGGAAGGTCAGGTTTGAACCAGAGAAAAGATAACCAAACTAGAAACATGTAAGAGACATTTGGGATAGCAAATGTAAGGAAAAGGGTCTCAGGTCGTATAGATTGTATAGATCGTATAGCTTGACCAAAATCAAGTTGGGGGGGGGGATTTATTTGGTTTATACTTCCATAGTGTAGTCCATCACTGAAGAAGTCAGGACAGGAACTCAGACTGGGCAGGAACCTAACGGCAGGAGCTGATGCAGACAGAGGCAAGGAGGAGTGTTGTTTACCGGCTTGTCTCCCTCTCCCGTGGCTTGCTCAGCCTGCTGTCTTATAAAACCTAGAACCACCAGGCCCATCCACAATGAGCTGGGCCCTCCCCCATCAATCCCTAATTAAGAAAATGCCTCACAGCCGAATCTTATGGAGGCATTCTTGTGCTCTCTCCCCCTCTCTCCCTCTCTCTCTCTCTCTCTCTCTCTCTCTCTCTCTCTCTCTCTCGACAGGATTTCTCTGTATAGCCTTGGCTGTCCTGGACTCACTTTGTAGACCATGCTGGCCTTGAACTCACAGAGATCCACCTGCCTCTGCCAAGCGCTGGGATTACAAGGCATGTACCACCGCGCCAGCTCTGGGGGCATTTTCTCAATTGTGGTCTCTTCCTTTAAGATAATTCTAGCTTGTGTCAAGTTGACATAAAACCTCCCAGCACAGCGTGGGTATTCCAGTTTAGGTCACTGTCAGTCAACAAGCTAAACAACAAACTATGACAATGACGTATTTGAAAACAAAACAACAAAAAAACCTTAACTGCTTTTTGCTAGGCATTAGGCTCTCATGCAGCCACGTGTTAAAGTTCAAAAATTATTTACTGAATTGGAAGGGAAAACGAAGCTGAAGATCACATGTAAAACACCAGGGTAAGAGCAAGAGCATCAAGACCTTAAGCACGTTAAAGATCGGGAAATGTAAAGGTTAGTGGCTTCGCAGTAATGTTAGCTTAGCTATATTACACACAGCACAGAAAAGCGTTTTAAAATATCACTTATTCTGCTCAATAGTTTCTTCTATTAGAGTATTTGCTCTCTGAATTTTCTAACCTCCGCACATCTGGCCTCACTGGACAAAGACTTGCCTTTGGTGTAGAAGGGCCTGACCCAGTGTATGTGTAAACACCAGTGGATAATGGCGAGATCCTTCCAAAAGCATCTTGTAAGCAGGAACCTCCTGATGTCTCTGCTACTCCAGCAACTCTGTGAGCTCCTCCTTCCTCCAAATGGCAAAACTGCTAAATAATCTAAATAATAATAATAAAGGCTTTTCACCATGTAGATTTGACTTTTCTCACTGACCCTTGCTTCTCATGAGACTTTCTTTCTTTCTTTCTTTCTTTCTTTCTTTCTTTCTTTCTTTCTTTCCTTCCTTCCTTCCTTCCTTCCTTTCTTTCTTTCTTTCTTTCTTTCTTTTTTCTTTCTTGGCAGTGTTTCTCTGTGTAGCCCTGTGTGTACCCCTGGCTGTCCTGGAACTCACTAGGTGGACCAGGCTGGCCTTGAACTCAAGAGATCTGCCTACCTCTGCCTCCTAAGTGGTGGGAATTAAAGGTGTGCACCACCAGTGCCTGGCCATGGACAACTATTTTCAAGTTAAAGAGACAAGAGATATTGTTTCTTCAGTTCTTGATAAGCATGCCTAAAGACTATAGTTGAGAGAAATCTATCTGGTTTCTCAGACAACAGATTTCTTTAATATTTATTGTTTTATATGTTTTTATATGTACAGGTATTTTTATATGCATGTATGCTTGTATCTCTCTATATATTTGTATGCGTGTGTGCATGTATTTTTTACATGCATGTATGCTTGTGCACCGCATGTATGCAGTGCCTACAGAGGCCAGAAGGCGGCGTCTGTCAGATCACCTGAAACCAGAGTTACAAAGGCTGTGAGCCACCATGTGTGGGCTACAAATTGAACCTGTGTCCTCTGGAAGAGCGGAGGCAGTGCCCTTAACCACTGAGCCATCTCTCCAGGCTCCGAGGGACTAGGATTTGAGTCCTGCGCAGCACAGCGCTGTCCTAACTTCTAGGGACTGCTCATTCCCAACAATATCTCTTAGTGACTGTCAGAGACAGGCAGTTAGTTGCCTTAGGAACCATGGAATTCAAACTTAGCAGGCCTGAACGAGACAGCCAGCTGGTGTCAGAGTTACAGCAGTTCCTGGCAAACTTGTGGGGCCCTGGCCCTCAGCAAGCCCGCATTCACTACCGGTCTGCCCTCCTCAGTGCTCAAAATCGGTGAATTTCAATGCTAAAGGCCGCACGGACTGAAGCACGCAGGGCTAGAATGGAATGGCATCTTGTCACTTGCCCAGTGCCGTAGTGAGGCAGCCCAGATACCTCTACTTTAGGCTGCCCATGAAGGAGAAACAGGTCTCCAGGAAAATTCATAGAGGGCTGTCTTTGTTGTGACGTAGGAGCCTATGTTCCCTGACCCCTTTCCTCCTGCCCTTTCTCCTGGAGCCATCAGCGCTCTGCAGAGAGTGGGCATCGGATCATCTGAATTCTGATGGACCGTGAGGTGATACCCGGAACCCCTGAGAAGGAAACACTCACGCTCCACCCTGTACGGCCGTGTCACTTACTCCATCAGCATATTTTCTAAAATTCCAGCTGTGTGGCATTCAGCCTGCCGTGCTCCAGAGTTCTGAATGGCTGACTCGGTGCTGATGCTGTTCTCCGCCTTTTCCAATCTGACTGTAGTCTACGTGGCTTAACAAGGGGCAACCTAAGGGCTCCACATGCTTCAACCTCTTTCCCCCAAAGCTCCTCATCTCCACACACAAAAACAAGACAACGGATGGCAGCAACAAGAACTGTGTGTATGGATAGTCAGCCTGTGTGTATATCCGCACCATGTCTGCCCGGTGCCCTCAGAGGCCAGAAGAGGCTGTTGGATCCCTTGGAACTGGAGCTAAACATGGTCTTAAACCACCATGGGTGCTGGGAATCGAACTCAGGTCCTCTGGAAGAGCAGCAGTGCTCTCAACTGCTGAGCCACCTCTCCAGGGCTGAGTATCAAACCCAGGGACTAACTCAAGCCAGGCAGGTGCTGTCTGTGCTGTGGCCTCAGTTTTTACACTAGTTCCTCAGATCGATCCTTAGAACCCCACTTCCCTTGTGAATTTCCACTAATTTGTTATTTCACTTGTGCTTGTATTTTTTTTTTAAGATTTATTT